TTGAACAATGGCCTCTGTAAAGCATTATTAATTCGGTACATATTTATATCTATCTATCTATCTTTCTATCCATCTATCTATGTATATATATATAAGCCTATTTATATTTATACAAATAAATATAAATATATTCATATTGGCCGTATTGTGGATAAAAAATTTGAAGGTAGGACATTTTATTTGTGACAAAGAACTTAACAATTCAAATTATAGTTTTTGAATTCCTCTATTTTCTTAAAATAAAATCACTCTCTACATGAAGGTGTTGTTTTATTAATGCAATAGCTAATTTAGAGCTATATTAGTGTCACCCCCCCCCTACCCTTTGACTGAGTGTGTGCATCCAGCTGTGTTTCTTAAAACAACATTGTGTTACAAAAGAGTTTAATTATCAAGGTACAGGTGACAAACCTTTCAACTTCTCAACAAATTCATCTGGGCCAAGCTCCTGATGTGATGTGTCTAACACTACACCTTTGTAGCTGAAAGAATGTATTATAACATTTTGTTGAAGCTAACCATATATAAATATATGGACTATATTTAAACATCATTTAGTCTTGAGAATAACACTAATTTATTATTTGGTTCGACTGCTAATCCGAAAGCCTCAAGTTCAAATCCTGGGATTGAGTCTGTAGGACACCCTGAGCCCATCAAGCTCTGATGGGTAGCAGAACGTAAAGGCGGCTGGGCATAGTGCTCTCTAAACTATCACTTCTTATGCTGAGGTCACAGAGATAAGTGAACTCTACTTCATAGAACAGCCAGGTTCAAAAGGATAACTTTGTTTTATAATATTGACAAAAAACCTTCAGATCCTTGACTACAAACATTGTCTACTAAGCTTTACCTTCTTTGAATTGCGCACTTCGTTCAGTACTTTAGGGGCCTATTAAAAAGGGTTTGTTTAACTTAAATCATATTCAAATCATACAAGAAGCAGTTAAAAGCTTTTTGAAAAATATATCTTTAGAAATTTTCATTTCTCCCCAGAATGTGCTTTTTTTTTTAAAAATGTGTTTTAAGTTTGGCAAGGAAACTATCTAAGGACAAAAGCACATTCAAAAAATTCTTACCTATCTTTTGTAAAGACTAATTCAGTAGACATATTTGTATTTCACAGCAGGTCTTTGCTCTACATAAAAAACTGGATTTTTAATCTTCACCTATATTACAAAGATAATATAAAATAGGTCAAAGCTGATTCATTTAATTTTTTTAACTGGATTTTCTTAAATGTTTCTTTTTCCCATTGATCTAAATCTATTACCAAACAAATTTTTTACTGGATACCACTGGCAGTGAAAGCAAGTTTAGTGTGGACTTGTTTTAAAATGTAAACTTTAATAAAATTCTTCAATGATGATTAAAAAGTACTGAGCTTTTATACAAATTAGTTTAATATTATTCACAAGATAGAGGTCTGTAGTGATCTTTATGTTTATATACAACACTAATAGTCTGTGTTCAAAGCCTTCATATCTTTTCATTAATACACTTTATGGAAATAACTCTGAATACACTAATTTCCTTGAAGGTTAACATATTACTATTCCATTGATGGTGAATTAAATTCAATAGATGGTTAATAACTTATAATTAGATTGATTTTAATAAGATTGTAGATATATTTTAATTCTCTTCATTTTTAATAGGTTTTTGTGGGCTTGAACTACAAAAAAAAAAGTAAGTAGCTTCTAATTCATTGAAAAAAAATATTTGCAATACTAGATATAGTAAATAACCATGGCATTGGTTACATTTGTAATATAAATTATATGGCTATTTAAAAAAAATACCATTCTAAATCTATATTGATGTGCAGTTACTCTTTTTTATTTCTAATATCCTGTGATTATCCTCATAACTTAGACTAATTTGTGTTTTAGTTTTAGCAAGAGAAGACCTCAGAAGTGTAGAAAAAAAAACTACCATTAAGTTGCAGCCTGAGAAAGTGATTAGTTTTATCATGGAAGTGTAAAAAAACAGTAGTTGTTTTAGCAATACAGCTGAAAGGGCCATAATCGAGAATATATCTTAACTTCAGCAGTAAAAAACATAAGGAAAATTTAAAAAAAAACAAAAAAAAACTATAAAACAGCATTATGTCTGTAAATAAAGTAAATTTTATTTATTCCAAATCTTCATTTGCTTTGAAAGCTTTTTTCAGGGCAAGGCGTTTGATAGCACGTTTTTTCTTTTCCTGTTTGTTCTCTCTTCCTTCAGCTTCCACTTGACTCAGGTAACTATTCTCTCCATGCAATTCAAAGTCTATTTTTTCTTGTAATTTTTCACGAGCTGTCTTTCTGTTCTCATGCAATGAGCGAGATTCATGGCTCTATTGTAAGAAATTAAAAAAAGCATTGTAAAATAGAATCAGAAGATATAAATAGAAAAAAAAATGAAAATAAAGAATTTAAAAATGTAGAGTAGTTGAACTGTTTTATTTTATTTATAATAAACTAAATTCCCCCACCATATTTCAATGAAATGTATTTTTAAAATGCATGATTTATTTTTATACTTTATACCATTAATCTTAACTAGAATTACTATTATTAAGAACTAATTATTACTCAAAGACAATCAAAACAATACATAATATTGATAAAATACATTACTTTTACAACTATTCCTGTTGGTATGTGTTTAAGGACAACACAGTTTGATGTTTTATTGACCGCTTGACCACCAGGTCCACTGCCTCTAACAAAGTTTTCTTCCAGATCCTCAGGCTTCAGTTCTGGAAAAATGTAGTTTTTTCTCTTTGTTGTATAGTTACAGCTTTGGGTTCCGCTGAATGGATGAAAGTTCTTACCCAAGAAATTACTACACTTGTTAAAAATTGTGCCAGGTAAATGGGAAATCCTCACAGGCATAATGTTTGATTTCAAATATGTAAAATTCATATTTGTTTTATTAATTGCTGAGTTGACCTGTTTAGTTTTTAAAATACTAGTGTTATTTAAATAACACAGAGGCTTATGATGACAGGAACTTAAAAAAGGCTTGTTTAAACTCTTGGTACTGAAGAAACAGCAAGCTAATTCTTCACAAAATGGTTGGCCTTGATAAATTCCTGATTCCACTGAACATGATACTGCTTTTCTTCCATGATGATTTTTCTGATGTTTTGAATGTACAGCTTGTCTGTATTCATCAGAGTGATTTTCAGAAGGCCAGCAAGATAATTTTACATTCAAACTATTCCCATCAGAATAAAAACATTTGAAACTGTTCTTTGGCCAATGTTTTAACATAAAAAAATGATGTCTCATTATTGTATTTTTAGTAAGCATCTCCATTTAACTATAAATAGATTTGAATATTCAGGCTGTAAAAAATTTTGAAAGGACAAAATCAGTAGAAATTTTTTTTTTTTTTTTTTTTACAAAAAACAACTGATCACTTTCTTTTTAAAAAAAAAATGAATCAATGCTCTGAGCATTTTTATTAATACATAGCAGTTGGCCTAAAGGGAATTTATTGGTGCCTATTAGTATTTACCTACTTAAAAAAAAATGGTATGAATGTAAAGTGAATTCAAATATTTGTAAAATTACTTTTAAGTTATTAACTACATTAATTGCTTACCTTTAAACACAGTAGAAAATGTTTTTAAGAATAAATAAACTTAAATTACTTCAATGAATTTATTAATTAAAAGAAAATTAATGTTTCAATTGTTATCCATTTATGATGTCCACACAGAAGGGAGGGGGGGGGGGGGGGAAATCTAATTAAACATTAACATTTGTTGAATTATGGCAGGGGGTGGGTGTGAGAGGGTTTGGGGAAAATTGGTATTTGAACTTGTGTGGATGTCCATGTGTTACATTTAACAAAAACAATAAATAACGAACACCAAACTTTATTTTAAACTGCAGTGCACAGATTTTAGTGACAGCAAAATAAGTAATTAAGTCACTGTATACATTATTATAAATTTAGCATAATATACACAACCCTTATTTGTTATTTAGAATATTATTTATTGCCAGTATGCTACATTGTTCAAGAAATCATATTTTTTTGTGGGTATCCATGTCATGGGAGGATCTGGGTGTGAGGATTGGGGGGGAGGGGGGGGGGGGGGTTGTAAACATTTAATATTTTGTGGACATAAATTTAAATAAATTAATAGTTAGGCCCTACTTAGTAATTACTAATTAGGCTTAGGCCCCTTCATTTTTACTCTTATTATTTATTCCAAGACAATCTAAGAATAAGATGAATAAGATTGAATTGATTAATAAATAAGAATAAGTAATCAATAGTTGACAGAATTTAATTGTTAATAATAATACTAAATACTAATATTTCAAGTCAACTCTTTATTTCATTTGTTTGTATCAACTTTGTATCCCTAGCTGAAGAAAGCCCCCTTCCCTCAAACAATAATTCAATTTAGCCTCTTAGCCACACTTTGTGACTTTGAGCTTTGTGAGTTTGAGCTGGTCAATATGGGAGAATCTTGAGGAGTTTCTAGTTTGTAAATTGTTTTAATAGTTAGTTTTAGTGTATGCCGTATACTATAGGTAGGCCTACTAATTTAACAAACTTATTATAATAAATCTATTTTAAATTATAGGCCTAAGACATTGAATTTAAATAATTTTGTTAAAGTGAGTCAGGGCTGAAAGTAAGTAGTAAGTACTTACTAAGAACTTAAGAAGAGTGAACAGAAATGAATGTGAAAGTTCTGAAATCTACTAGCTAAACCGTCTACTAGAAATAGAATCTAGACTAAGACTAGACTGTTCGACTTCTTCTAGAATCTAGATTCTAATGGTCTATTCTTTGAATAGATTCTAGTACTTGAGCAGAGTCTAGTGAAGTCTAGTCTCAGTCTCTAGTACTTTCTAGTCCTAGGCTAGCGCCAGAGGCGTAGCGACCCTTCCCAGCGCCTGGGGACAAACTTTCAATTTGGCGCCCCTCTCGGGAGCAAATTTTCAATTTGCACCCCCCCCCATCCCTCAAACTTTCGATTTGCACACCCCCCTCAAACTTTCGATTTGCACCCCCCTCAAACTGCAAAAAAGCAGCTAAAATGACATTTAGGCCTAGGGCCTATACATTTTAATTTGTTTTTACAACCCATTTTGGCACCCCCTCTAAGGTCGGCGCCCGGGGACATATGTCCCCCCCCCCCTGCCCCTCACCCATCGCTATGCCTCTGGCTAGCGCAGCTACTACTAGATCTACTACTAACTAGCCTAGTAACTAAACTTAGACTGTAACTTAACTTAGTGTAACTGTCACTAGCCGTGACTAGCAGCAGCAGTGTAATTTTTTTTAAATTATTAAATTAAGTTTTATTAGGCTAATTTATAAAGGCTAGTTAGTAGAGGGCCTATACTCCATACTGGCCAATACTATATTTAGATCTAGATCTAGTCTAGATTTCTATAACTTGTTATTTATTATGGTAAAAAATCTTGAATTCACAAGCTTACAAAATGTTTATGTAATATTTCGATTCTTATTATTTTTGTATCCAAGTTTTTAAAATTATAAGAGTATTCTCTAGCAACCGTAATGTATATGTGCAGTGCATCTTTTAGTTTTGTTAACATGAGAAGTAAAAAAATATATACATATTATAATTAAATAAATAGTGGACTTACGAAAAGGCATCAAATAGAATATTTTAAGATTATTAAAAAACAAAACAAATTAAACTTCAATTCTACTTAATAATATGTGCTATGGCACGGGTTCCCAACCTGGGGGTCGCGACCCCCCTAGGGGTCGCGAAGGTCTTTCTGGGGGGTCGCCAACTGGTATACTAAACCTTAGTAATTTGAAACAAAACATAGATATTTAGAAGAATTTTTGAAATTCGGCTTCATTAACATCACTGGAAATGTAATTGAGAAGAAACAAAGCGCACTGTACAAAGTTGTTCTCAGTCACGAATCTATGAAATCTTCAAAACTAAAACGTCATTTGAGACCAAAAATATATGGAGTTCTTTCGTCAATAAGAAGCTAGTTGCAAACGCCAGAGACTTGATCGAACAGGAAGTTTTCACCAGCATTAGTGCAAGCATCAAATGAAGTCACGATAGAAAATGCCAAGCAAAAAAAAAAAAAAAAAACAATAGGAGAAAATCTCATCAAACGCTGCATGTACGTAAATGTTAAATAACACTTTTTTATTGAAATTAAGCTTTCACCATTGTCTGCTTTTCAAGTTGATAAATCAACAGACGTGAGTTCGTGTTCGCAGTTGCTGGTCTGTGTCTATATTCATGCGGATGATATCAAAGATAAAAGAGTTACTCTTTTGTGAAGAAAGCATGGAGAAAAAAATATCTTTTTTTTTAAACTGGATGATTAAAATGGGTTAGAACGGCTGTGGGGGTTTGTACGGATGGTGCGCCATCTATGTTTAGCTCAAAATCGGGCTTTCAGAAAACAGAAAAGATTTAGCTCCCTAACCACTGCCCTAACCAATCGACATCAAGAGTCCATTGCTAGTATAAGTCGTAAATTATATAAAATCTGGAGCCTTCAAAGAACTGAGCAAAAACATTAATATAGATCACGAGGTTCTGCTCTTCTACACTACAGTACGCTGGCTGTCAAACGAAATGTTGTAAATTGTGTTTTTGAATTGAAATCTGAAATAAAATTGTTCTTGGGAGTGCAAAGGAAACAAGACTTTTTGGTATACTTAAAACGACATAGAGTGGTTGGAGAGAGTGTCATACCTAGCAGATATGTTCGAACATCAAGATAAGCTTAACCTGAAGCTTCAGGGAAAATGAACGAATATTATAACTTTCCATCATAATCTCGGGGCATTTTTATCAAAGCTGCAAAATCGGCAAAGAAAACAAATCTTGGAAATATTGTAAATTTGAGAAACTCTGCGGTGTAGTAGATGAATCTGATTGTGAGATAATTAAAATTTTGAAAGAAGCGATTTCTGGGCATCTTGAATCTCTTGAAAACGAACTTCATCGCTATTTCTCTGAGCTGAAAAAAGAAGAATCTGCATTTACGCATTACCAATTCTCTTCTTCCCTTGATGTTGCCAGCATTCCCGATGAATTACAAGATGAATTCTTTGATTTGCAGAATGATTCCGTGTAAGATGAAAAACTGCAGACACAATTTTGGTGTAGTATTCACCATTAATACCCAAACGTAAAATTGATTGACTTTTCGAGAATATATTTTCAACACTATTCTTCGATTAAAAACAAAATTAAGATAATTATAATGACATAGGTTGGCGTTAACAAATTTTTATTAAAATTAAAAACTTAACCACGAAGGTTTATTGAATAGTATGCAATTTTACTCATGCTATTAAAACAGTTATCAAGAGTAGTTCATACTGAAAGTCTACTAGAAACTCTTATTTTAGTGCTTATTAATTTTAATACTAATTTCGGCTTTTTAATTCTATGGGGGTCGCGGGTCACTTACTTTTTATAAAAGGGGGTCGTCACTCGAAAAAGGTTGGGAACCACTGTGCTATGGCCTTAGTAATCCACTATTATTGGGAGAAAAAAAAAAAGGGGGGGGGGGGGTGATAGTGTTAGCATTAATTAAACTTTTGCGTTTAAAAAGTAATTTTTAACTGATTCTTAGCGGTCATATCACAAATGAAAACACCTTTTTTCTGTAATCTCCATTAATAGTTCATTAGTAGATGTATACAGAATGTTTATGTTATTATTTGGGAAGGGGTAGACAGAAGTCAGTGTGATATCAATTTAACAACGTACCGATTAAAATAAAGGTCAGAGTTTAAAAGTCCGAAGTTCAGAAATAGCTTTTATCGCTTTTTTGTGACTGTTTAGGGCTTAACTGTGAAGTTTTAGTGTTGTACCAACAGGGACCTTTAATAATAATCTAACCTAGTTTCAACCCACCTACGAGGTCAGAAGTTAAGTAGTTTTATAATTTCGGTGTTTAGTAAAGCCATTATAGAAACGACTTCGGGTGAGAGTTACCTCTCTTAAAGCCTAGTAAACAACAGGTCATTTATAACTACTAACTATATAACTAAGCTGTTGCAGGCGTAGGCCTACAGACATAGACATGTAGCTAGTTAACACAGATGCATATTCTGTTATGTTATTTATCGCATGAAAAATGTGTATGGCCCTATGTACGAAATATTTAGGTTATCTGTCAGATGTGTCTGAACAAACACACTATGCAATGTTGATCGTAGTTCTAGTAAACACTAAAAAAACAGGTACCTTTCTAAAAATAAAAAAGTCAAGTGTTTGGCCTAAGTTCTAAATTAAAAAAAAAAAAAGGTAAAACTAACAGAAGGATGGGTTAAACCTTAATATACAGACAATGTTCAACTAGTGTACAGTGTTTTGAAATTATTTAATAATTTATGAATTTTATGCCTAGGCCTAAAAAAATCATTTAGTTTTCTTAAAACTTTAACCCCCCCCCACACTAAAGTGCTAGATCTACTAAAGTTATAAACTCCTAGGCCTAATAAATATCCTAACCAAAGAAACTTAGTCTAAAAAACAAAGAGATCTGTCAGTTAATTCACCAAAATAAAATCGACCCAGAAATATATTTTTTACTCCGGCTGCTTTTTAAAATTGGATGTTGCTTATGTTGAAATAGTTGAAATATTCTTTAAGAACATTTTGAAATGTAGTAAGCAGTGTTTCATTACTGTTACTGTAGGTAACATAGTAGACTAAGTGGTTTTAATAGTGTTATCCATTAGAAGTAGAATACTGTATTTTTTTGTTGTTGGATCAATCAGGTTTTCCTTCTCTTTGATTATCATCATTTGGTTGCTTTTGTTAGTTGAGGCAACTCATGTTTAAGGTTATTTTTTGCTGGTCTTGCCACACTAACCACATGTGTAGAAGAATAACGTGTATAGCCCTGCTGTCTATCGTTAGAAGTAAAGCTCTCTTCCATTATTGTTTAGACAAGCTCTAATCTTGTTACAAGCAAACAATAAAAAAAACCACATTGAAACTTTTTGAACTGGTGTAGTTAAAGTATTTCTGTTACAAAATAAAACAAAAATAACTAATACAAGTTTAAAAAAAAATAAAACTGAATTCCAGGCTTACAAAAAAATGGCAAATCATGACCACAAGAGATCAAGGGGGGAGGTAAATGATAATCAGTCTGGTGTCCCATCTAAAAAGGGGAGGTTTGCCGACATTTTTTCCAAGCGCATTGACCATAAAGAGGATGTTACATGGAAGGAGCATATAAATGATCCTCTGTTTTGGGGCCCGTACCTGGCAGAAAGACAATGGGGTACAGTACGGGAGGACTACTCTCATGATGGTTCTTGGTAAGATTAAAAAAAAAATTTGTGCTGTAATATCTTGAAATTTTGCTTGTCACTGGATTTATTTTAACTTCGTATTTTAACTTTGTTATAATAGTAAAGGGATGGTATGGTTGGGCAGGTAATTGCTAACTCCAAAAGTTTACAGTTCGGACCCTAAGCAGGTGAGGTTTGTTACAAACAACTCAGCATAGCCAATTGTTCTTGAGTAGACAAAGGCTAATGAAGCAAATCTCTAAAGAAAACCAGACTTAAGTCAAATTCAACGTACTGTGCATGGCACATAACATGCTGACATAATAATACTTAATTGTGTTGAAGGATCTCTCCTCCAATGTTACAATTAAGAATGAAGGAGAAGAACTTAAAATAGTTTACTGTTTAATTAAATCTGTTGCAGCTGTAAGTTCTGATGAAAATTATCAAAACTTGAATAGTTACTTCTGTTGTTGTAGCTGGGACTACCTGACTCATTACGATGCTACAAGACAAGCCTACCACTGGGGAGAAGATGGGTTACTGGGTGTCAGTGATAAATTTGGCATGCTGTGTGCATCTTTAGCTTTATGGAATCACAAAGATCCCATTCTCAAAGAGAGACTCTTTGGTCTCACTGGGAAAGAGGTTAGACCTTTTGTTTTTATAAAATTTCCCTGATATTGTGAGTTAAATCATGGTGTGCAAATGAATACATGTTTGTAAGAAGAATTTTTTGTGTGTGATAATTTGAATACTGTTGTTAAAAATTACTTGTCATGATTTACTTAATAAAAGGATAAAAGATAAGCACTGCTTCAAATCCAAAATATTAGTTTTATAATTATTAAAAAAAAACATTATTTATTATTTAACTAGGGTAACCATGGAGAAGATGTGAAGGAGCTTTATTACTACCTGGATAATACACCAAGGCACACCTACATGCAGGCCCTTTACAGGTATCCCCAAGATGAGTTCCCTTATCAGACTCTGATCAACCATGGCCGCACATATTTTGATCCTGAATATGAGGTCCTTGACACAGGTAATTTGTGTTAGAATTTTTGTTTACATAAGCAACTCATCCTGGACTGCTAATCCAGGTTCAAGTTAGTAGACCATCATTGAGTCCACCCAACTCACGTTAGGGAGAGTAAAGACGGCTGGGCATAGTGCTGACCACACTATCTCTTCATGTGCCGAGGTCACAGAAACAAATGAACTCTACTTCACTTGCCCTATAGACCATCAGGTTTGAAAGGGAACTTTACTTTAAGCAACTCATCATATGCTTTGGCAAATGGAATGTTGAGAAAATGACAGTTAGTCCATTTTTATTGACCTTAAGAAAACAAAATTAAGTTTTAAAATGTTTATTTAAAAACTTTACTCTGTACTGGCATTGATAATCTCTAATTTTTTGTGATGTTTTTGACTGTGGTAATCTCTAAATTTTTATGATGTTTCTGACTGTGGTAATCTCTATTTTTTTTTGTGATGTTTCTGACTGATAATCTCTAATTTGTTTGTGATGTTTGTAACTGTGGTAATCTCAATTTTTTGTGTGATATTTTTGACTGTGGTAATCTCAAATTTTTTGTGATGTTTCTTACCATGGTAATCTCTAATTGTGATGTTGTTGCCCATGGTAATCTCTACATAACAATTTCTTCAGGAATTTTTGATCACACCTATTGGGATGTAAATATTGAGTATGCTAAACCTGCCTCTCACACACTGATCTGCCGGATAACTATCACAAATCAGTCAACAGAATCAGCAAAACTGGATGTTATACCACAATTCCTATTCAGGTTTTTACCAACACCAATTTTTCTTTTGATAAATAGTTTACATAACCTGCTATTTATTTTTTAAAATCATAATTTGTCCAGTATGGCTTTAACTTTTAAGTTTATAAAAGAATAGATTAAAATTCTAAATTTGAAGACACGATTCCCCTGTTTTTTTTTGTAAACCTATCCAATTATTTAACATATCCACCAAAAAGATTCAGTAGCCTATAGATAGATTAGTCTTTTTTTCTGAGCCATCTATAGACATACTGTACAAAACATGGCTGGTAGGTATCACTCTTTAATAATTTTTATCTGCATGGATCCATATTGTACCCTGCAAGCTTACTGAAAAATTACATATTGCAAATTTGTTGAATCATAAATTAATGTCAGTCATTAAGTTTTTAATTGGCTTTTTTTTAGATTTAGAAGTTTATAGGATTTCTTTTTTAGTTTTAATTTCTTTTTCAGTACCTCAAATTTAAGAAGTTGTATTTGTTTGACTCGTTAGTAATAAATATTTTTTTTTTAAAAGAGCAAAAAAAAAGTTGAAAATATTAAGGTGTACTATCTTTTTCTCCTTTGTTTTTAAAATGTCTGTATTGTGAAAATTGTACAAGACAAACTTCGCTGATGAACTGCATGTCTACCTTCAGATTTCAAGTTCCCCATACCATCATTCTCTGAGTGGGATTTTTTGGGTTAGAGTTTAGACTGTCTGTTGATACTAGTTGATACTAACTACATCTTCTGTACCTTTTGGGCCCATACCACTAGGTCTAGTTAAAAGTTTGGATCAAATTTTAATTTTCTTAAAATATGTTGTTTGCTATCAACAAGTTCAATTTTGTAACAGGAATACTTGGAGCAAACCTGGACCAAATAAGTGTGACAACCCCCCTCTTTTTCAGCTGGTTAGTGGGGATGGAGTTGATGCTATATACGACATGGGTGGGTTTTGCCTTGTGAGATACAGATAATCCTACAATAGAAATTTTTTGGATTGTGTGAAGTAGATCAAACAAGTGAAATGTTTTTTTTTTAGTTATCTATTACTGTGTGTTTAATATAACCGTAAGCAAATATTTATAAAGTGTGTAATCAATTTTTTTTTTTACCAGTAGATAATTTATAAAAATAAAATAGTGTTAAGATATATGGTATGCAGTTATAGTGGTAATTTTTAAGGAATCTGTTTGCTCACTTAGTAATTGGAATTTTTTATAAAATGAAGCCAACGGTCTTAAAATAAAATTAGAATGTTTTTGATCTAAGAAAAAGTTTTATCTTATTATTTGGTTATTTTAATATTTAATGATAAACAAAAGAAGGTCTACAAAGTTTATTTGACTGCAGGTATATTCCGGATCAATTTTAACTATGGTCAGAACGTCACCTTCAACAAGCTTTTATTCACTGAGAACAACTCTGAGAGGAATGACTTTGAGAGGGTAGAGAGTGACACAGATACCAGTCGCAGCCTTAGTACATCCACTGACACTAACATTGAAAGGATAGAGGATAAGAGACATGTGAAAGATGCATTCCATAGGTATATCATTCATGGTGAGTTCCTTTTTATAGCTACATCATATGTGGGGAGTAGATCTTTACATCATTAATGGTGAATAGGTTTTTATAGGTATATCATACATGGTGAGTAGATCTTTATAGATACATTCTTCCTTGCTCGAGTTGAGTAGAACTTATAAGTACATCATTAATGGTGAGTAGCTCTTTACATCTTTAATCATGAGTAGATCTTTATAGCTACATCCTTTATGGTGAGTAGATTTTTATAGCTACATTATTCGTGTTGATTAGATGTTTATAACTTCATCATTCGTGGTGAGTATATCTTTATGAATGAATTATTCATGGTGTATACATAAAGATCTACGAACCATTTTGTCTATAAACTCTTCACGGCTCCATCACTTTAGTTGAGTATCTTATAAATTAGACTCCTCTCTTTCTATAACATTTCTATACTAATTTAAAAATGTTGTATTTTATCATTGCTCTTAACAAATACATTTAAAAAAAGAAGAAACAAGGTATAACTTTGCATTCCTTGTAATGTTATCTGTTCTGGCTTTGTCTGTAGATAATTTTTGTTTATTTTTGTTATTGTTTTAAATTCTAACAGAGGAGACCAGTTCAGTGAACTGTAAACAAAACGGAACCAAATGCTGTGCATGGATGACTGCAGACGTGCCTGGCAAGTCAAAAACCTGTGTATACTGGCAAATTTTTCCTGCAGACTGTGTAGGGGAGAGAAGCATAATGAAACTTGATGAAGTCTTCACTTTCCAGAAAGTTAAAGCAACAGAATTCTATCAGAAGGTTTATTAGATATTATATTTTTCTAATCAGTTTTTTTCTTCTTTAAAAATTGTGTAAAATATACAATTTTGAATAGAACCCCTTTTAGGTAACATCTTAAAATGCCCTCCATTTTTATTTTAGAGGATGTAAAAAAAAGCTGCATGATTGTTTTTCTATAAAAATTATGTACACTTAAAAAAATAAAGATGTGTAGATTTTTAGCCTAGTTTGTTTTCTACATTCATTTTAATATTATGGATGTAAAAATAAGTATTACAAAAACATATGTTAATATTTTATATTAAAATATCTGACATACTATTTATCGACAAAAATCAGCAGTTGTCTTTCTCCATTCACCAGGTTATACCAAGGGAAGCAACTCTAGAAGAAGCTAATATATGTAAGCAGGCAGTAGCTGGCTTACTCTGGTCTAAGCAGTTGTACATATACAACATGGAGGTCAAGAATAAAGGTCAGTTCCTTCAATTCAGTTGAAATTTCTAGAAATTTAAGCACTCATCCAATAAGTGTTTCACTTTTTAAATCAATATTTACCCCCTCCTATCACCACACATGTTCAAACAATTCCGGACTTCTCTCCCCTAACTATTTATTTTAAATATAATTCAAGGCTGACACAGGTTTGTATTTGTAGGGTATTTAAGGAGTGTCACACAGTAAAAATTTTCTTTAAAAAAAAACATGACAATTTTAAGAAATAGCAGTTCAAATGAATTTGTGTGTGGTATTACAAGTTCTGAGTTGTTTAAATTTTTTTGTTTAAAACTACAATCTTGTAAAAAATAAATGTTTTCTATCAGAGCTAAGAAACCGTTTTTTGACGACCTACTTCAGGACTAGTCAAGGCAAGAAGAAAACAGGCTGGAACCACCTGACCTGCCATGACATTCTTCTGGTGCCAGACAAGTGGGAATTCCCTTGGGTCAGTTGGGGATAGTGTGTGGGATTGGTGTGTCATGGGGAATGGTGAGATAAGGGATTGGTTCATGGGGAATGGTGGGATAAGGTGATTTGATGTGTCTTGGGGAATGGTGGGATAAGAGATTTATTTCTCATGGGAATGGTGAGATAGGGCATAGGTGTGTCATGGGGAATGGTGGGATAAGGGATTTATTTCTCATGGGAATGGTGGGATAAGGGATTTATTTCTCATGGGGACTTATGGGATAGGGGGTTGGTGGGTCTTGGGGAACGTTAGGATAAAGGATTGATGGGTCTTGGGAATGTTAGGATAAGAGGTTGGTGTGTCATGGGAAATGGTGGGATAGAGGATTAGTATATCGAGTGGAGCTTTGGGATGAAGGGTTGGTATAGTGCTTAAAATAATAACAAGAATTGGTGTTGTAAAGGATTTTAAAAAATAGTTTATAAAAACTCTAGGCTTGATATATTTCTGCCAGTGTGGCTGTTTAAAAACCTTTCACTTTCAAAATTGATGAAACTATATGGTATTTGAAAGTTTGTTGTTCAATCTAGCAAAATGTTGATATTGTAGAAATGTCAGATTTTCATTAAAATTGGAATACTTCAGATTTCTATTGTTTTTGTATCTATTGTCAAAAGCAAGTGGGTTTTCTCAACCCATGTTGTAGTGCTTTATAAAGAGCATCTATAAATACATAAACATGATTGAAGCTGAATGAATGTTATTATTTTGGTTTCAGTTTGCAGCCTGGGACCTGGCCTTTCACTGTGTGCAGTTTGCCAGGATTGACATGCCTTTTGCCAAAGAACAGCTGCTTTTGTTGTTGTCTGATAGATACATGCATCCTAATGGACAAGTGAGGGATTGTTGTTGCTGTCACATTATTTTAATAAACATTTTAATAACAGTAAAATATTTACATGAGAACTGAAAAAAATCCAAGGAAGATGAACAGTTTAAATTTTTGTCTACCAATATCACCATACCTAGTGACAAGATCTTGAGGCAGACACCATCTAGAAGTGTCACATGTGTTGATTCAACTAGAGAGAACATCCTAGGACAGTAAAATCTTAATATAATAACATAATAACTCTTCCATTATTTAAAAAAAAATTGTGTTTAAAAAAATGTATAATAGGATAGGCAATTATAAAGTGATTTTAAATCATAAAAAACATGTTTATTGAATTTGTCAATAAAAAAAAATATTGGATGTTCTTCTCTAAACCATTATTTAAATAAAAAAGGCACTTAAAATATAAGAGGGGAGGAAACTATGAAATGATTTTCAATTAAAAAGAACATTTTTATTGACTTAAACATGAAGAAAAGCAATTGGCTACAGTTATGTTGTTTTCAGATCCATTATTAAAACTCCCAATATAAAGTGATTTTTGAATCATAAAGAATTTTTTTTGTTGAATTACAAGTATAACATTAAATAGGAACAGGCTAATGCTATGTTGTTCTCAGATCCCAGGGTGTGAATTTGACCTGGGTGACCCCAACCCTCCCATCATCGGCTGGGCAGTGTGGAAGATGTACACAATGGAGGGGAAGAAAGATCTGCCCTACCTGAAAACTTGTTTTAACAGACTGATATTCAGCTTCCAATGGTAAACTCATGTTTTAACACATTGATATTCAGCTTCCAATGGTAAACTCATGTTTTAACATACTGATATTCAGCTTCCAATGGTAAACTCATGTTTTAACATACTGATATTCAGCTTCCAATGGTAATCTCATGTTTTAGCACACTGATATTCAGCTTCCAATGGTAAACTCATGTTTTAGCGCAATGATATTCAGCTTCCAATGGTAAACTCATGTTTTAACACATTGATATTCAGCTTCCAATGGTAAACTCATGTTTTAACATACTGATATTCAGCTTCCAATGGTAATCTCATGTTTTAACACACTGATATTCAGCTTCCAATGGTAAACTCATATTTTAACAGACTGATATTCAGCTTCCAGTCTTAAACTCGTGTTTTAGCACAATGATATTCAATGATTTGTTGAGCAGGGAACTGGATAGTGGGGTACGAGTTGACCCTGTGTTCAGTGGGGTGGAATATCCAAGCCAGTTAGTTTGAGTTTGCAGTGTTGAGGCCTGTCTGGCTAATGGGAGACACCTCCTGTGCCAGTGATGTCCATAAAGAAAGCGGACTAATATTCAAATTAATATGTTAAAATGTAGTGTAATGTGGAGATACTAAATGACGTATTATGTCACAATGTGCAGTAAGAACTTGCAGTAAACTTTGATCTTGTATCTGTAGGTGGCACAAGATGGACCCTACAAACTCCTATCTGTATGGTCATAAACTCTGGTGCTAATCAAATTGTCATCTTGTATCTGTAGGTGGCACAAGATGGACCCTACAAACTCCTACCTGTATGGTCATGGCTTCATGGGAATGGACAACATCAGTTTGGTTGACCGCTCCTCCCTCCCCCCTGGTATGACAGGCATGAAGCAGGTATGGAGATTTGATATTTGAATCTTGGAAGTTTATCACTAACTAATAAACTAAAAATGTTACCAAAATTTCTAAATTTTTTTCCTAGTATTTACATCTTGGAAGTTTGATAAAATCTTGAATGTTGGAAATCATTTGAAGTTTAACATTTTTAAGTAACTGTATGTAGTGCAAATTTATTACAAATTTTGACAGTATAGAAGTAGATACTAAGTTTAAAGACCTCTGCTTATCTTGTTTCAGAAAGCTGTGGGAATTATCCTTTTTTTTTCTTTAATTGACTTAATACTGTAAGGTCCATTTGCAGTAAAGGGCAGCAACCAACATATTAGTTTCTGGGCTGGTCTCTTTAGTTGGCCCTCTGTGCGTCCCATAGCTTTGGCTTCACTTTCTACAGTCCTCCCACAGGTTATTCTGCCCTGCATAATTTTCCTTTTTGCCTTATGAGTTCCAGTCTAGTGATATTTAATTCCGCTCTTATCAGTTTTTGCATTTGTTTGCAGGCTGATACCATATGGTAGATGGGACTGTTAAATGTTTATTTACAACTTTTGCAGGCCGACACCACGGGGTGGATGGGACTGTTTAGTCTGACCATGCTCTTCTCAGTGTTTGTTTAATGTGTTTGTTTGCAGGCTGACACCACGGGGTGGATGGGACTGTTTAGTCTGACCATGCTCTTCTCAGTGTTTGTTTAATGTGGTGTTTGTTTGCAGGCTGACACCACGGGGTGGATGGGACTGTTTAGTCTGACCATGCTCTTCTCAGTGTTTGTTTAATGTGTTTGTTTGCAGGCTGACACCACGGGGTGGATGGGACTGTTTAGTCTGACCATGCTCTTCTCAGTGTTTGTTTAATGTGGTGTTTGTTTGCAGGCTGACACCACGGGGTGGATGGGACTGTTTAGTCTGACCATGCTCTTCTCAGTGTTTGTTTAATGTGTTTGTTTGCAGGCTGACACCACGGGGTGGATGGGACTGTTTAGTCTGACCATGCTCTTCTCAGTGTTTGTTTAATGTGTTTGTTTGCAGGCTGACACCACGGGGTGGATGGGACTGTTTAATCTGACCATGCTCTTCTCAGTGTTTGTTTAATGTGTTTGTTTGCAGGCTGACACCACGGGGTGGATGGGACTGTTTAGTCTGACCATGCTCTTCTCAGTGTTTGTTTAATGTGGTGTTTGCAGGCTGACACCACGGGGTGGATGGGACTGTTTAGTCTGACCATGCTCTTCTCAGTGTTTGTTTAATGTGTTTGTTTGCAGGCTGACACCACGGGTGGATGGGACTGTTTAGTCTGACCATGCTCTTCTCAGTGTTTGTTTAATGTGGTGTTTGTTTGCAGGCTGACACCATGGGGTGGATGGGACTGTTTAGTCTGACCATGCTCTTCTCAGTGTTTGTTTAATGTGGTGTTTGTTTGTAGGCTGACACCACGGGGTGGATGGGACTGTTTAGTCTGACCATGCTGCAGATAGCCTTAGAGCTGTGCAAGCATGACAACAGCTACACAGACATGGCCATCAAGTTCTTGAAACATTTCCTGCACATTGCCAGGGCCATCAATCGCTCTTTTTCTGAAGGAGGTAATTTTTAACTCTATTTATTTATTTTTTAAATTTTTTTTTTTACAAATTTCATTGAGACATGGCATAATACCAGAAAGGAACTAACTATGTCCCTGTCCTGAACTTAGCCATAACCGTATATTGTGGTATATGTAGGCTGCTTCATTAGATAACTGCCTCACTTGAATTTTTTTGTCTTTAAATAAAAAATCTCAATAAACATGGCATATCAGATGAATTTTTAACAGAAAAATCTTTTAACTTAGATGTCATATTATTTTGCAGGTATATCCCAAAAGCAATATATTATTTGGAAAAAAATTTGGGATACTCTGCAAAATAATATCTTTTTTTAAAAATTAAAATGTTGAACCAACTAAAAAACTACAGTGATGCATTTTGTATTGATTAAAATTTGTTTGTATATTTTGTATTGAACACAGGACTATGGGATGAAGAGGACAAATTCTTCTATGATGTGGTTCATTACCAGGACCCCCACAACACCCCAATCCGCCTGCGCTCGTGGACGGGTATTGTTCCACTTCTGGCCTGCTGTTCTGTTGATCTCAAGTTGTGTCCCCTTGTCAAGACATTTCTACTCAGATGTGATAAAGGGTTCTCTCCCTTTGTGAGTTGGAAATCTTTTTTTTTCTCTTGCATTTTTAACTATTGCCAGACTTTTATGTGCCTGATTTCTATATCTGCCAAATGTCTGTTACTAGATGTTATAGGATGATAATATCATTGGTCTGTGAAAAAACAACTATATTACTATCTATATATATAATTCTCTTCTTGGAGACGTTAGAAAACACCAAGCTGTAAGCGCGCCTTGCAGTCCCCTCTCTTCCTCTCTAGGCATATCGTAATCACCCCACCCCCACATGGTCTGGTGAGCTGTGCTTCACGCTAAATGTTTGCAATCGTAGAGCCGGGTTTAGTGACGGCTATTAGGGGCAGATAATTTAGTTTGAAATGATTTTAAACTTAGGGGAGGTAGCTAAGAGGAGGCTGCTTTCACGGGGTGTGGGGGTTAGGGGTTGGGTGAAAGGAGGGTGGGGGAGGGGGTTATCATCCTTAACGACTTACTGATAGTGTTTTAAAGCAAATAGTTTCAGTGACAGCAGTGGTACTGTCAAATTCACAAATTATGAATTACTGAAAAGTAGAAAATATAACAACTAAATAGCGGTGTATGATATGCAGCAGGTCAGCTCGTAGATTATAATGTGTTAAAAGGTAGTTTATCCATTCTTATCATGAAGCATAAGCTTATTTCCATGTATGTTCAGTTAGTTTAAACTTAGATAAAACCTAGCTGAAACCCATAAAACCCATGCTCTCAAGAAAGTGTCAAATTAAAACAAGCTTATTTTACTGATGTTCTTTTATTATATAATTTTTATCGTTTGACATTTATTTGATATCAAAATTGTATCCAATTCACATATATTTAAAACTGTTTTCTAGTTGTATATGATGTTCCCCTTTGTAAAAAATTGACGTTTATTTAAAAAATATTTTTTTATTTAAAAATCTTTAACAATTTTATGTCAAAAGTGTGAAAAATTAAATAT